ATTCAACATTGCAACGATTACACAGTCTGACAACCAGAAAATCACAATGTTGCATCAACAGCGCTGCTCTAAAGGGAAAATCAACAAACAGAGTGGAAGCTCGAGAAGCCGTCCTGCAGAAATGTGAAGAAGCGAAGGACGCGAAAAAGATCAAAAGGTCGAGAAAACGGTCCGGTGAGAAGTTTCTCACAGTTTGTTCTTTGGGAGACCAGAAGGAATCCAGCATCTGAATGATCCAGAGAAGGTTTAAACTCAGAGTACAGGAGGCGCCATGTTTCTGAGCAGACAAAGATGCTCCTCCTACTGATGGACCTTTTGACACTTTTGCTGTGAACGAGGAACCACACCGGACATGTCAAGAAGTCAGACGGTGACTCATGCTGCAGCGTCACTCTGACTGAGGACTGATCCTGTGGTGCAGATTAAGCTCAGCGTGTTTTACTCTTTGCCACTTTTACCGTCGTTTTTACCATTTGTGTGCAATAAACCCACGAGCGAACCCAAGAAGCTGATTCACTTCCTTCTGGACCAGTTCAGATGAGTTCAGCAGACGTGGTCGTTAGAAACCCTCCACTACAGGGAACAAGCAAAACCCGGTGGAGGAAATATCATCTCGAATTTGACTAATTTTGTGAGAGTAGTTTTGCCACAAATAGAGAGAAGATGAGTTTGGCATCGTGAGGGGCTTTTCTGGAACGTACCCCAGAGCTACTGAAGAAAACAGCTGATTGGAGAGAGTTCAAGAAGTCGTGTTGAATTCTGAATTTAGCCTGTGTGAAATATTTTGTTCTAACTTTTCCATATTCCCCAGATGTTGTATCTTAACGAGGAGACTGTAAGTATGTGTGCTCGTTAAAACTGCAGACCTCATTGTAATTTTAATTTCTCTGATTTGCCTGAAAATTTTATAGTAAAAATTATGGAAATTTCTAAAGATGTTTGTGAAGTTTAATACTTTCAAAGCTGTAAAAGAAAATTATCCATCGACTCGCTTTCAGCAGGTTTTTTTTTCTCATATTGTTTAAACAACAATAATTGAGGAACTATTAAAAATAAAAACCAGATTTTTTCTCTTTTATTTCTCATCGATCCAGAGTCATCAGTGTTGTTGACTATCTCCCATTATTTTGTGGGACGACGTGCTCAATCAGCTATAAAAGTTCAACAAATATGACTTTTCTTTTCATGCTTGTGAGCCAGCATTTCATTTCTAAAGTCTTCTACATGTTTAGTTTTGTCTTAATGTGACCTGCAGCTACACATGGTTCAGAAAACATCACTACTTCACTTCTGCTTTATCAGTTTTTTAGCTCAAAGATGGAACTTTTCACGACGGATTAACTATTTTATATTATATTACAGATCCTGAATCAGTGACATGATGAGAAATAACAGGTTTATATCCTTAATGTTGTTCAAACTGCCTCAAATTTCAAAACCTGCCGAGTGGGACGGAAGGCAAATCAAAGAAAATGTTATCTGAGAAAGTATTTGATGTATGGAGCTAAACTTTAACAAATATCTTTATACTATTGACCAGAGACGTGGAGCAGAAGGCCTCTGATTCTTTCTAGATGGAATAACTGCTGCTCAGACTTCTGTGGCGGATCGAAGCGTCGTAGTGCCGACTCACCTTCAGAGGCGGAGGGAACTCGCAGCGCTGCTCATCGATCCTGCTGCCCTGTGATGGACAAGAGCACGGCTGATCACAAAGCTCTGCTCGGCTTCACTGGATTCACGGGATCAATGGCGACTGAAACTCACCTGCAGCTTCTCAATGATCTCAAACAGCTCCGTGTCCTGCTTTTAAAGAGCGGCGGCGGCGGCGGCGGCGGCGGCGGCGGACAGAAAGGGCAGAAGGGGAAGGAAGGGGGAAGAGGAACATGACTTCAGCTGGACGTCTGACTTCTCAGAAACGCAGGATGTGAGCGTTCATTAGGAGCATTTGATTAGAATTAAAGCATTGTAATGATATCACCCTGTGGCTGCTGCTGCTGCTGCTGCTGGACGGATGCACCGGTCTGCTGTCTCTGGCCGGAGAGTCCAGGAGGTTCAGGATGTCGCTGCTCTCTGCAGATTCATCTCTGCAGCAACAGGTTCATGTACACAACAACACAACTCAGCTTTTACAGTCTCTCAGCTGCAGTGAGAATCAAATAAGAAGCGGCCTCACCTCGTCTCATCCCCACATGGGAACCTGTCCTCACTGTAAACAAGGAAGTGACACTTAAACACACTTCACATCTAAAAATACTGGCATCTGTGCTGCACATGTTGGCTTTTTGTGCAGCATGCGAGTCCAACGCCGCGTCTACTCACCCGCCGTACGCGCCAAAAGTGAAACTTCTCTTTCTGGAGAAGGACAAGTCATTCCTCTTTTCTCTCTCCATGGTCTGGTGTCACTCTGAGTGTTTGTACATGGCAGGTTGGCAGCGAGTCAATCAGGGCTGGTTCAGGTTGAATTAATTCATCCTGCCACTCCTCCTCCTCCTCTCTGCCCCCTGCCTCTCACTCATTTCAGCAGCTTCCCTTTCCTGCCTCCGTCCTGCTGCTCGGCCAGCTTTAACCCCCCCCTCATGGTGGCAGGTGCAGCAGACAGAACCAGAACCGAGCTCACCTACGTCGACCCACACCAACGCCCGCTGCAGGTTTCACCGACTTAAAGATGGACCTGTGAATAAATAAAGAAACGAGCGAGACATTTCCACCCGGACCTGTTACCCTTTGAGTCGGTGAGAGTCATCAATTATTGAGAGCGCACGCGGTGAGGGTGAGGAGGAGACAGCAGGGGGTGAGGAGGAGGAGGAGGAGGAGGAGGAGGAGAGGAAGGGATGGAGGCAAGGAACACAGAAACTGAATGAAAGCCGGGGAAACAGAGGAGGAGGGATGTGTTCATCTGAGAGGGAAATCTTCATCCCAAGAGTTCAAAACAATAAATAAATCACATGTGGCAGCAAAACCACACAAAAAAACCCTTTAAGTGTAAAGTACTTCTTTAAGATTATATGTGACAAACATTCACAGCAGGACTTTATATTTAACTTACTATTTTTATCATATAACTTTTGTTTGATGGTTAATTATTGGGATAAAAACACATTTTTCTTTAGGACTTTTCTTTCATCTTTAAACTACTAGACTAACTTTTTGAGTTTCAAACAGGAAACAAATATCAAATGATTCTAAATTACTCTCCTCTCACTCTAATTATTTTACTGGTTCTTCAATTTTAAGCTTTAATTTTAGCGATGAAGTCAGTGTTATCACTTTATACTGTAAAAGTGGATTAAAAGAAAGATGCATTCACATCTGAGTGAAACAACGTCAGCTGAAAGAGGGATGTGTTTATCTGAGAGTGAAATTCTGATCCTTAGAATAAAAAAATCAATAAAATAAATCATGTGTTTATCATATGTGGCAGCAAAACCACCAAAAACAAAAACCTTCATGTTAAAGTACTTAAGAATCCTCCATTAACATTATTCATCATAGGACTTTATATTTAATTTACAGTTTTTGTTATATTTCTTTATATTTACTGTCGTGTCGTGTCCCATGGTGTATTATTGGGGTAAAAACACATTTTTTTTCTCATAATTTATGACTTGTCTTTCATTTTTGAACTACTAGACTAACTTTTTGAATTTCAAACAACCATTTACAGGAAACAAACATTCTAAACTACTCACAGTAATCAGATTACTTCTGAGCTAAACAGCAGATCCTTAGAAACAAAGACTTTAGGATTCAGGATATTAAAAATAAAGGCCCCATGTTGACACTTGTTTATGTCATTTTCTAGCCAGAAAAAAATGAAATGAAATTTCATCATAAATCTTTTCTTTTTTTTTTTGTATAATGATATCAAGAATAAATAATTTGTGGCTGAACTGAATTTAAAAATAAACAGCAGAACGTCCCTATTAATGGTTTTATATTACTGCTTCGTCTATTTTAATGTGTCATTTTAGTGTTGGAGTCCGTTTTATCAGTTTATACTGTAAAACATCTGTCAAAGAGTGAATCAAAAGAAACTTGTTTCATTACATCTCACCTGTATATATTTATTACTGGTCTTTAAATATTAATAATATTCAAATGACCCTGATATATTTGCATAATTAACAATATAGGACTGTCTCACCCTTAATATTAGAACTTTTTAGGTAACTGTAGGGTTGGAGTTGATATATTATTGAAGGGTCTTAACCATATATTTACTGTAGTTGGGTCATTTTGCATCATTAACAACACGATAAAATCTTAACCTTGTTATTAAAACCTGTGAGGTAAATAAAAATGTGTATTTTTGTAATATTGTAGGGCCTTCTTGAATTTCCTCAAGGGGACAAATAAACTGTCTATCTATCCTTATCTGTAATATTTAAAATGTGGCTGTAAATTTGCACAATTAAAATAATTGAAAAGTTTTACTGCTATTGTTTGAGCCTCTTGATTAAATTCTAATTTGTGTTTAATGTAATATTGTTAACTGCAATATTTAAATTATTTTTGGTACATTTGCATACTTAAATATATGTTATATTGATTAAAAAAAAAAAAAAAAAAAGAAAGGTGAGCTTTTACAGGATTGAATTTCCCTTCTGGGATGAATAAAGTATTTTTCATTTTTCATTCATTCATTAATTAGGTTTGTCAGGTACTTTTGTGTGATTATTTACACTCTAGAGTCTTAACCTTAATATTCAAGCTTGTTAAGTAAATTTAAGTTGTTTTTTAAAAAATGATATTGTTTGATCTTAACCATAAATTTTACTTTATTTATTTGCATTATGTACAATACTGTGGCGTCTTATTATTTAAACCTGTTTGGTAAGTTCATCACACCAGTCTCACTTCTCTGTTGAAGAGCACTTTAGCTTTAAGGCAGTTGTTTTAAATGTGCTCTTTAACCAGCAGTAACTCGACTACACGTCTTAATTAGACACTTTTCCATAATTGTGAGTTGTGATTCCAACATTTTAAATACAACTGTGTATAGAATCAGTCCTTCCTGTTCTTTTAAAAGCCTATCTCTGTATCAAAGGGATGTTTGTTTCTTCACTGAGCTTCTTATCAATTGGCTGCTGATTTACAGAAACAGATTCAAATTCAAATCCTCACATATCACTACTGTACAAGACTTTACCACAGGGGGCGACGGCTCTATGATGCCCGCTGATTGGCTACTAGAAACGCCACTCATCTTTTGCGACGCTCTCATTGGTCACAATTCCTACTTGTGACCGTGTGGCCCCGCCCCCCTCCGTTGCAGCTGTGAGACCCGCGGAAGTTGTTTTGCGGAGCCGAGGATGTCGCTAATTTGCGTGAAGCTGTGACAGACACGGTGACGATTTTGCGGGTGTTTGTCTTCGCGGTTCGACACTCTGTTGCAGGAGCAGAAAAACGGTAAGAACGCGGTTTGGGGGAGATTTAAACTAAACCCGCTCCAACGCGAGAAAAAGTCAAAGTTAGCCTGTTAGCTAGCTAGCATCGCTAATTAGCCACCGTCGGTGAGTTTAGCGTCAATAAAACTCTGCTGGCAGCGACTTGAAGTGCTGATTTCTAGATATCGTTATCGATTTATTCCTGTTTTTGTATTCTTATCGGTAGCTGTGTGTGATTTACACCTGCACTGTTTGGCTCGCTGTGCTCGGTGACTTTTCCTGCCTCTGACAGGTACTTTTATCTCCACTATGTTAATGTCATTTTAAAGCCAACAGCTACACAACAGCAAGCAGCTAAAACATAAAAACACTTCATGTGCAGAAGTTCGGGTTCTGATCACACGGAAGGTCCAGTCAGGTCCAGCAGCGTTTATATTTTAACCTGACAAGTTCACCATTTTCAGTTCATGTCAGAGTAAAAAAAAATATAGATTCTGTGTGGAAATAGTCTGATTTATAAGTAAGAGCTCAGTTTGTCCGTTTTATCTTACAGCTGGACTGTTTTGTCCTCTAGATTATTATTTATGACATTATATAGTAATTTGGGTGAGCAACCCTTTGTATTCAGACCCTTCTATTAAAGAAAAGGCAAAACTCACAACAGTCAGTCAAATAACTAGAAACTGATAAAAGTAATAATACATTTTTTTTTAAAATGCTAAATTATAATTTAGTGAAATAAGACGTTGCTTTTGAGCAATGTCATGATTTTCATAAAATTTTTATTTATTCTTACTTTTGTCAATTTCAACTTATTTCAGTGACTGAAGCAGTTTTTTCCTTCTTTAATGGGAGGATATGAACACATTAGACTGTATATTCATATTGTCACTGTGTTGTGTTGTTGTGTGATGTGTACATATGTATTTTATCTTTGAAATATATTTTTGAAATATATATTTGATGCACATTTGCATTTTATAAATTCACATATACGAATTGTTATCATATATTATACAGAATAATATTATTATTTTTATTATCACACAGTGCTGTTCTTCCTAGTAGTTTCCTGTTTTTTAATTGACGTGTTACTATTGTCTCCGTCTGTCTGTGTTGTTCTACTTTTAGAACCACAATTTCCCCGAGGTACCCCACCAAAGGGATCAATACAGTTCTATCTGATCTAATCTAATCAATATAGTGCAGGAGAAACAGCTCACCCATTAAAATCCCTGCGATGCAACACGCTAAATAAAAAACAAATAATAATCTCAGTGTTTCCCTGAGAAGCAGTGCTTTGTAGATGTCAGTATAGTTTTAAAAGTCTCTCATCTTCCTTTCTTGTGAGGATGTACTTTGTGTTTTTAATGTTAACTTCTAGTTCACTTCTACTTTTATTCCCTCCCTTTCGTGTAAAGTTGAACCGTTATTGTTTAAATTTATTCGATGAATTCAAACTTGTGTTTTTTTACAATATTGCAAAGTGTTAACTGCAATACTTAAATTATTTTTGGTAAATTTACATACTTAATTAGGTTAGTCAGGTAAGTGTGTGTGATTATTTACACTGTAGAGTCTTAACTTTAATATTCAAGCTTGTTAAGTAAATTTAGCTTTATATTTTGTGTAATATTGTATGATCTTAACCATAACATTGGTGCTCTTTAAACAGCAGTAACTTGACTACACATCTTAATTAAACCTATTTCTGTAATTGTGAGTTATGATTCCAACATTTTAAAATAACATATAATATCTTTTAGTGTTATCAAAGTTAATATCATGGATTTTATTGTGTTTGTGTCTCATTTAAATGGTCTGGGAGAAAAAGTTTTCATACATAAAGTCTCCCAACACTATGAATGCATGCTAAATACATGCTAAATCTGATGCCTGTAGACGTGACAGACAAAAATTTACAAGTTATTTCCATTTGCACACTTAGAGCACACGTATATTGGTTATTGTGTGTTTCTCAAAGTAAAAAAAAAAAAGTCAGAGCAACAGCAAAAATGTGTGTTATAAGAATAAAATGAATCCATGTTAGAAGAAGCCGTCTGTATAAACATATTACAGTAATATTACTTTAAATTCTCTTCTCTGAGCGTTTTCTAAATGTAAAAGTGTTTTTATAGTGTTCTTCTCTGCTTGTCCTTTCATTGTTGACGTACCCGTCTACTGTTTCCCCCTTTAGTACCATTAGGTATTAATTATCACGGCTTTTGTTGGTATTTATGTATCAGAGGACAGTGATGTAAAACCACGTCTGCTGCCGGCAGACTTTATGAGAAACATTTGAGTCCAGGTCTGCTCGTCTCTGCTATTCCCGTGTGCTGTTGTCCTGCAGACGGAACATGCTGGAGTGCGGCATGTTGGACCGGGACCGACAGGCCCTGCGGAGGCGTTCGGCGGTTCTCTGCAAACAGCTGGTGGTGGACGAGCTGCTCATTCAGTCGCTGCTGGCCGACGACATCCTGACGGAGAGCATGGCGGAGGAGATCCTGGTACGTTGACCCGCGCTCTCTGAGCTGTCGGCGAGGTGGGAGCGGTTCTGGTCACCGTTCGGCCCGGCGGTTACACCTGGTTTACCCAGCTGAGAGTCCAACCGCCTTGTGACCTCTGTTGGCAAATTATCTGACCGATATCGTGATTTAATTTGATTTGCAGCACATTTAATGCGAACTTCTTAGTTTTTGATTTGATATCAGCTCATTGTTCATCCCTCATGTTGGGCATGTGATGGGACTAAACCGTTCTCCTTGCTCTTCAGTTTTCTGACTCGATCTCTTCTCCTGTAGGCGGATCAGACGTCTCAGAAACGCAGCTGGCGTCTGCTGCTGCTTTTGCCGAAGCGAGGACCTCGAGCCTTCAGCAGCTTCTGCTCGGCCCTCAGAGAAACCCAACAGCAGCATCTGTGCGACCTTCTGACCCAGTCGCCCGAGAGAGAGACGCAGGTCGATGTGAGTTAATAAACTGACCACACAGAGCTACAGGATACCAAACCTGTCTGCACAAAAACACATTCCTGTACACGTACGCTGCATTCCCAGATATGTTTTGAGGGCAACGTAATTTTGTTTTGAAGTAAATCTAATTTGTGACCTGTGGAAAAGTGCCCAGTTTGACCAGACTCTCATCCAGAAGAGCAGAGTTCACATCTCAGAAATAAACAAATTAGGAAAATGTCAAGCTTTGTTAGACGCTTTTACACGTTAGATGCTTGATGAAGGTTCGCCACCAGAATTACTTGGTTCCCGGTTTAGGGTTGGGTACAAACCTTTCACTGCACGTTTGAAGCATCTCCTCCATTTTCTGGGTTAACATGGAGCAACAGTGAAGCTGTAAAATACACAGTAAAGAACCTGCATTAGATAATAGGAACTGTATTAGATAAGGAAACTGTTTTCGCTCAGAAAATCAAATGCAGTCCCTGATAGAAAAACAAAGAGTCTGTGAGATGATACAAACAAACAGCATAAAAATATGTTTCCCTCAAAACATCACAGAGAAGCGGTTTGGTCGTGTAGGAGTCTAGTCTTGGGGAGACTTTTTAGACTGACTGCAGGTGTTGGACTGTTTCTCACAGAATATTGAGCCTGAGGAGGAACCAGAGGGAAAGTCAGGGCGGCTGGTCATGGAGAGACCAGAGAAGAAGAGGGAGGTGAGCTGATGGTTCCTCTGATCCCTGACAGGATCTTCACTGTCGGGTCATTCTGTGTTGCTGGACCATCTCAGGATCTCTTCAAACTTTGCAGCATTGAAACTTGGCACACCTCCCAAACTTCATCAGTCTGCCCATGATTCAAGATGTCCAACTTTAATTGGCCATAACTCTCATTTCTACTCATTTTATTTGCGATTTTCAAACAAATCCAGAATTTGAGAGGTCTTAAGCAAGAAATTGAGTCTCGATTTCCAGAATTCGCTGCATTCTCTCCGTTCACCAGAAATGTCTGGTGAACATCTCGTGAACAAGTGAAGACTCCAGGACGTATACGTCAAGAGATGTGGACGTCTCAAAGTGGCATCTGGCTCAGTTTCCAACCTACGAGAGATTTAGTGAAAATTTCCATTGAGTGGAAAGTTGAGAAAATGTTGGAATTTCAGCTAAAAAGTGGGCAGATGTCATATTCAGATGCCAAAGATCATTCCTACAGAGTTTAAACAGATTCTCACCTTGGCTAAGTTGACACACAGTGACCCTGTTTATGTCTCACATAAACGCTAACACAGAATAAAAACTAATGTCAGGAGAAGCAAAGTTGGGATCCAAAATTCCAAAGAAATCATCAAGAAATATTAACTTAGGTTCTGCTTATGGGTTTTAAGCACATTTCACTCACACTAGATTTAAATATACTGTGTTAAAAACAGCTTTTTATCATCATCTGGATATTTAAAATGGTTTCTGTGAGCTTTGTGCCACATGTAGAAAATACTTTTTTGTACAAATTGCCCCATTTTGACAATATCTCAGCATCTATTAAAGATACAGTTTGGAAAAACATGCCCATATTAAAACATTTATCACTCTGTTCTACCTGGAGGTCTCGTAATATTTTACTTTTTGTGGTAAAACTTGTTAAATTAAAAAGTTTTTCCACTGCTATTTCACAATTTTGTTTCTGGCCCACTTGCTGCCAGATTTTCACGTTTTGTTTATTTTATTTCATTTTTTAAAAACTAAATTAAATCATATTATTCAGGGAAACTAAGTGTTTGTTCACCTCGATAAACGGAGCTGGCAGCAGTGGAGAAAGTATTCAGAGTAAATCCAGAAAATTGTGATTGTTTTAGTTAAACGCTGTGTAATATATTTTACTGTGGAAGTAACTCAAACCTCCCGACCCTCAAACAATCGTTAAAATACAAACGCCCATCCCTGAGGAAACCTTTGTCCTACAGAATGTCTGTTAAAGTTGTTCACAGTTTGAGGAGAATGAATGTTGAGCTTCAGCTTGGTGGTGTTTTGTAGACGTCCTCAGTAGACAGAGAGGAGAACCGTGAGGTGAGCAGCTCCAGAGAAAGCAGAGAAACAGGCAACACACAGAATGCATCGTGTTTTACATCCAGACGCTCTGCGGAGGAAACCAGCAGCTGACAGGATGATAGTTAATTTGGGAATACAGATGTCACATCAACAGCAGCTTTATCTGCCCGGCTGTGTTCAGCAGCTTCTGTCTTTCTGATTTCAGAGGTCCGTGGACTCCTCTCTTCCACTTCCAACTCAGGAGGAAGTTTCGCCGAAGCGACTGAGGACTCAAGGTGAGCCGCTGTTTGATTCAGGTTCAGCCGGGTTTCTGTGTTCTGTGTTCGTCTCCCCGGAGACACCAGGTGGAATCTGGACCAAAGTGTGTACCTGCCGTCTGGTTTTAACCGAATACACGCTGACAAGAGAACTCTTCATATCCAGCAGCTGCTCAGTGAGTTCAGTCTGTTCAGCGTTTGAACTCTTATCAGTGAGAACTGTGAGGCTGCCGCCGTCTGCAGGCGCCACGCCCAAACGGTGACTCACCCGCTGCTTTGTCGCACAAAGTTTGTCGTTACATCACTGCCAGCTGGAGCCTTCGGCGGTCTGAGCGCTCTGAGTGAGCGGTTTGATTTGGAGCAGGCAGAGGTTCGAGCTGTGATTGTTGTCAGGGAAATATTACACCAACTCACATCCTCAAACAGGAAAACAAACACTGTGGTAAATGTAATGCTGTGTAGAATATGAGAGACCTCAGAGTTACAGCTTAGTTATGACAACACTGGTTTTAAACATTCTGTAAGCTTAACCGTATGCTGCTATTTAAACTCTACATTCCTGAGACAACAAAAGCTTCCTGGAGATTAAAGTGAGACATCTTAGTTTGGAAACTTTAGTGTGTAAAGAGCCTTGAAATGACATGTTGTGATATAACTGAGTTCAATCCTTCGAAGGACCTGCAGCCTCACTTACATTTCACAAGTCAAAGAAGTTTAACCTTTACTTTTATTGTACAACAGACGAATCTCAAGCGTAATTTTCCTTCTATATAAATGCCTCGTCTTGTAGATGATTAACTTGATAATAAATGAAAACTTGCGAGCTGACAGGTGATTTTACCTCCATGTTGTGTGTGTGTGTCTGTGTGTGTGTGTTTGTGTTTTCTGCAGACTCCATGGAGTTCAGCCTGGATGCCGACAGTCCCATCACCACTCCCGTCCTCCCCTGCGCTCCTGACTTTTACCTCTCACACTGCCAGCAGGTAAATTCCTTCACCAGGTGAGCTCAGCAGGTCTGTTATGACTCACCTGGAGCCTCCTGGAGAAACAAGCTGTTTGGATCCGAGCGCATACGCAGCACAGTGTAGTGTTTGTAAGCTGCCACGTGAATGCATGACATAAAAATACCAATAAATCAGGGGGATGTTTAGCCGACTGTAGCAAAGAATGTAAGCTAGTTAGCCAGCGCTAACACATCATAACACTGTTGACATAAAGTCAGCTAGTCGGCCTTTTATAATGATACATGTTTTAGTGGCTGGTGAGCTCTTATTGTATGAGATGATAGTTCTTTAGTTCATTAGACGTTCTTGTTGTCTTTCTGTTCAAATTAGTGGATAACAGTCCTCAAGACTCTGGTGTAAACATTAGAGAAACGTTTGTACGTGCATGTTGTGAGAAACCACAGACCGCTGAACCACTTCCTTTGATTTTCTCAGACCAGAATGACTTCATCTTTTCTCTTTCGTCTCCAGTCCTACAGAATGACTTCGTCTCCTCGCGGCTTCGCTCTGGTCATCAGCAACGTGACCTTCGACTCTCACGCCGCTCCTGAGCTGGACCCCAGGAAAGGAGGCGAGGTGGACGACGAGGTGCTCAGGAAGGTGTTCACAGAGCTGGACTACCTGGTCGCTGTTCACAGAGACCTCACAGCTCAGGTAAGACACCTGAATGGAGCACTGAACCAGGTGTGGGGGGGGGGAGAGGATGCCTTTAGAGACTTTATGATGGTGGCATCTCTCGATTTTTATTTCTAGATTAAAACATATTTCACATCTAACTGCTTAAACACATTGTGAGAAGATCATTTTAACAGTTTATGGAGGAGAACCTGTTGACTTCACCTACATGTGCCCACTTTGGCTCTTCTCCATCTGTGTGAAGGGCATGAGGACGTGCATCGAGAGTTTCTGCAGACGTCCGGAGCACCGGACGGTGGACAGCTGCGTGGTGTGTTTGCTCTCTCATGGAGTGGACGGAGCTGTTTACGGGACGGACGGACAGCTGCTGCAGGTCGGTTTCTACCTCGGTCGCCTGCGCTGATGTTAGTGATGTCGTCTTTTTGGGGTTTTTTTTCCTGACATATCGTTCGGTCCGTTTCAGCTGGACTGGGTGTTTGAGGCCTTCGACAACGCTCACTGTCCGCTGCTGCAAAACAAACCAAAGATGTTTTTCATCCAGGCCTGCAGAGGAGGTAAGACTCAGCGTCTGT